TTTTTCCTTTTTTTTTTCAAGTTTTTTTTTTTTCCCCCGTGTTTAATTTTTTGTGTGTTTTGTTTTTTTGCTTCCTCTTTATTTGAAATGCCTGTGACTGGTCTTTTTCAGCAAATATTAACTCTTAAAAGTGAAACCGTGAAGAGGTTTGGGGTTTGGATACTAGTCAGTAGAAATGACATAGGACTGGTCATGAAAAGTGTGGCTTTAATGTAGACACTACATTCCATCTTTTTTTTTTTTTAATTTTTTTTGTGTGTTTTTTTTCCATCCTGTGGTATTTAAAAATTTTTTTTTTTTGTTCTTTTTATCTGCAGCACAAACATCCCCACATGAGAAAGCGAACACAGGTCACTGAAACAAAGGAAAAGGTGGCGAGAGAGCATACACACAAAGGAGAGCGTCCACCTGAAAGATGGAGAATCGAAAATGTAAAAGGAAAAGAAGCCACGACTTCGTTTGCCAAAGACTATGAGAGCCGATCTGGTATGTAATATGTAGTACTCATCAGGACAAAATTAAAAACAACAAAAAACTAAAAAAAAAAAAAAAAAATTACAAAGGAAATCTTTAGAAAGGGGGTTGGCAGGAAAATTGATTTCTATAGGGCTGTATTTATACATATGGTAGGGATTCTTTTTTGGCAGCTACTGGCCAGTGAGAGCTGTGCTTTTTCTGTACAAACCTGGAGTGAGTGTGTGGCTTAGGGCTGGGGAGAGCGGGAGCCTCCACTCTGTGTCAGGTGGCTGAGAGGCCACCAGGGGGCTGCAGGGGTCTGTGTGGCTCTGGGAAGCACGGCCTGAGCGCGTGTCTCCCGAAGCCCACGCACTGCGCAGGAGCGCCTGGCGGCGGACAGGCCCGGCACATCTGCCGGGGGCGCTGGGGGCCGTGGTGGTGGTGGTGTGCAGATGTGTACGTTTACTTATTTCAAAAAAAAAAGAAATATAGATGAAATGGTGGTTTTTCCTTTTTTTTTTTTTTAAAGCTACAAAGCACATGAGAAATGTTCTTTTTTTTTTTTTCTTTCAAATTCTAAATGTAAAGACTCAACTAAAACCGGATTCTACAGCATTCTACGGAAGTACACAGCCGTCAGTCACTCTGGGGTCGTAGGTTAGACAGGGGCTTGATACAGAAAGGCTGTGTGTCTTACAAAGGCCAAAAGGTCATGCTACCAGGAGATCGACGTCAACAGCAAAGAGTCCGGGAAGCAGTCTGGAGAGAGAGAGATAAGGGGGTCCAGTCTGACCATTTTCTTTGATTTTAAAAACCAACCAACCAACCAAAAAACCCTAGGACATTTTTCATTATGTTGGGATCGGGCAAGATGGGGCAGCATCACACGAGGGATCAAGAACCCAAGTGAAGCCCATTCCAGGATCGCTGGGAAGCTTTACCCCACAGGACGCTGGTCAGTCTACAAATCCGACTCCCCTTGGCCACACCTGCCCCCTTCTCCACTTTCTTCCCTTCTGCCCAGCATGCCCTCTTGGAGGTGTTTGGCTTCAACTCTGCAGATCAATTGGAGACATGACTCGCATGTCCCCTGCCCTCAGCTGCTCTGGGAAGCAGACCAAGTCTCCCTTTTGTCTGATTCTTGCCTCCTTAACATGAATAAAGAAAACTCAGGAGACAACGATTGGTCAGAGCAATGATTCTTCTAAATACTTGAAATCAACCACCACCACCACCCAAAGGAGAAGTGTCTTTGAACTGTTGTTGGGGGCATAGGCTAGGGAGATGTTCAGGGTGTTGGCCATTTTTAAAGGGGTTCTAGAATTCACACAAGAGCAGGACAGAACCGAAAGCACACCGCCTCAGCGGGTGGGAAGCAGAGACAGGCTAGACTAACGCCAGGCCCTTCTCTGCACCCCCTGCTCACAGAAATTGAGTCTTAGGGAGTAAAATCACATGGCTGCTCTTAAAAGGATGGACTCCCCAATCAAGACTCCCGTCACCTGTGTGTGTGCATATGTGTGTACACTCACGCACAGGCACGCTCGTGTGCTGGCCCCAGGGAAACCTTGATGAGCAATGGGATGGTGGTCAGTTCTGTCTGCAGCTCTTTCTAACACAAACTAAAAAGATTTATATATATTTGTATATATATAAGTTTTTGTTATGCCTTTTTAAAGTTTATTTACCAACTTGGATTTGTTAGTGGTGTGTGTGTGCGCGCGCATGTGCAAGCTTTTCTGAGTGCTGGAATCATTACCAAATAGGTTGCTATACGGGACAAGAGGTCAGTACAAGCCGCAGCCCCGGAGGTTGTTGGCAATGATGATGTCGGTGACGGCGTCGAATACCACCTGGATATTATTCGTGTCTGTGGCACAAGTCATGTGACAATAAATTTCTTTGTTGGGTGAGCGATTTTTGCTTTCAAATTGTGCTTGGATGTAGGCGGCTGCATCTTCATAGGTATTGGGGCCTGTAACAGACACACAAGAACAGGGGAGAGCCCCGGTGAGAGCTGGGGTGGGTCAGGCTGGGGACTCGAAGGCAGAGATGTGGGCTGGGGCAGTTTTCAGGAGGCCGATGAGACACAGCAAGGGACCAGAGGAAGGCGGCTGTAGGAACTGCTGGGCGTTTGTTCTCCAAGGAACTGTGGCAGCATTTCAAACTGAAAATGACGGAAGGTTAGCATTTGCCTGGCTTTTTTTTCAGGGTCTTTTCCCTGTGTTTTCTCACTGATCGACCCAGGAGCCCTGGAAGAACACGGCCACAGGTTCCCCCTTCTGCCTTCCTCATGAGCACATGGAGGCCCAGAGGGCCTGGGTCTACCATTCCAACACTTCCTTGGGTCTAAGCCAGCTCTGCTGCTTCCAGAAACCAAGAAAATAAAGTCAAACCAGCAGGGGCTGGTGGTGGCCCCTGGCTTGGGCTGTTTCAGAGGGAGGACCTGCACTTCTTCCTTACAGGGGCGGATTACTCAATAAGCAAGGTAAACATGGGCTTACCTGTGTTTACTTCCTAATCTGTGGTGAAAAACGTGAAATTGTTCACTACAGATTAGGAAGTAAGCACAAGTAAGCCCGTGCTTACCCTGTTACTGAGTCATCCGCCCCTGTCAGGGATTGTAAATTTGAAAAGAGGTTTTGATTCTGTTGGAAGGTGCTGTGGGATTGGGAGAGAGATGGCAGCCATACCTAGAAGCAGAGTCTTTGATGTGGTGAAAAAATGTGAAACTTCACAACAGATGATCTGGTAAGCAAGGCAAGCACTGTGCTTACCTTGCCTCTTGGATAATCTGCCCCTGCTTGATGGAATCCTTGAATGAGAAGCCACTTGGGGGGCTGGGAGTCTCTCTAAGCAAGTTCAGCTCTGGGTGAGTGGCCAGGATCTGGGATCCTTGGTATCCCCAAATTGAGACCTTTAAAGGGGATATTGGAGCCCTGGTGGTGCAGTGGTTAAAGTGATCGACTGCTAACCGAAAGGTCAGTGGTTCGAAACCACCAGCAGCTCTGCGGGAGAAAGTTGTGGCAATCTGCTTCTGTAGAGATTTACAGCCTTGGAAACTCTATGGGGTCCCTATGAGTCAAAATCGACTTGACAGCATTTTTTTTTTTTTTAAGGGGATGTTGTCATGTGTAACACCCAAATGGGCTCCCCACTGCCCTCACCAATTCCTTGGGTGTCCCCTTGGCTCTGGCTGGGGCTGGGTGAGTGGGTGGGAGTGTCTCTGTGTGACGTAAGTTTTCCAACCAGTATTCAGCAGCTGCAGCCCAAACCCCACGGCTCAATGAAGTACCGTGAAAAGTGGACCAACATAGAAGTGCCTGTAAGTCCAATAAAAGGAAGATGCTGTTTTCCTCAGTGCTACTAGGATCTGACCAATTGTGGAAACAATGTGATCTTCTTCTGAGGATGTGGGGCTATCTCTCTCCCTGCTCCACCTTGCCTGGCCTCATTCTCCATGGGTGTGAGCTACAGGGCTGGGGAATTCGGGGCCAGGTTGAAGAAAGGCTTCTGTAGCCAGGATTGGCCTTAGTTCCTTTAAAGAAACAGAAGAAGCCAGCCCTGCGCTCTAGGCAAACGTGAGAGATGCCCTGGGGTAAGAGATGGGAATATCCCTGGGGGAGGAGAAGGGGGATCAGGGTGGAGAGCAGCCCTGGGCTGCCCACCAGGAGAACCCAGACCCACAAGGCAGAGCCTCCTCCTGGATCCCACCATGAGGCAGAGTCTTCAGCAAAGCTGCTTGTAAAGTGAATTGTATGCAGTTCTCAAAGCCTAAACAGAGCAAGAGACCTGAACCCCATCAAGGGGCTTCATGTGGAGAGACAGCCAAGACAAAGGCACAGATTACAGTAAAAAGTGTCCGATCTCCAGGAGAGGACCCACAGGGACATCCTGTCTGGATGGTGGGGACGCCAGCTCTGCTGAGTCCTCGCCCTTACCCAGCCCCTCTCCTGCCGGCACACACGGATCCAGCTGGTCCCTTAGAGCCCACCTTAGAGCTGGTCCCTTAGAACACCTTCGATGTTCACCACCCCGTACACCCACCCCACCAGCTCATGCCCTCCACAGGCTTTGGCACCCCATGGGGCCCCCACATTCCTTGGTGCCTGATGGCTTAAGACAGCGACATCGGGCATCAGCAAATTGTTATTCTGGAACTCTGGACCATGGGATGGGAAGTAATTGAAATTACTTTTGCTGGGTTTGAGGTGGATTAAAAAAAAAAGATGGTGGTTGAGAAAGACGTGCTGTGAAGCAAATGAACAGAAGCAAAGGGAGGGAGGGCCCGCTCATAGGAAGCGGGCTGTGCTGCTGCCAGTGGCCCGTGTGTGTGCCCTGGAGGGTCTCCACTGGGTGACTACTTGTCAGCCATCCTATTGTTTTTGGACTCAAATTGGAGCCCTCTGAAGGCAGCGGGGAACTCAGATGTTTTGCAAATCCAGATGACTTTCCCTGGGGGCATCGATTGGGGGCATCCAGTGCCCCATACTACACAGCAAGACCTGTCCCAAATCAGACTCCATTGGGGCCCCTGTCCCTGAGGACAAGGGTGAGCCTTAGGATTGGGGCTGCCCCCTGAAGATGGCATTGGCCTGAAAGGACCTGTCAGGGCTTGTGGGCTGCTCGGCTCCATCCTGTTACCAACTTTCGAAAGAACTGAATTGGTCCGGGAGGGCCTTTGCTGAGGGTGGGAGGTCAGCAGTGGCTGCCAAGAGCGTGGGTGCAGCCTGGCTCTGGCAGCAGGCAGGCCCCGCCCATTCACATGGCAAGCCTGGACCCTGTCCCGAGCCCTCCTGTATTCGCTCCGCCCTGCAGAGGGCACCTCCACCCGGCCAGTTCCCCTTCCCTGGTTTCCACCCTCTGTCAGAGCGCTGACACCAGGACTGTCCTTCCCTCCCACGGGGCAGGCATTATTATGATCTGCTGTGGCACCCGCAGTCCCTGGGTGGTGCAAACAGTTAAGGTGCTTGGCTGCTAACTGAAAGGTTGGAGGTTCGAGTCCACCCAGATGCGCCTTGGGAGGAAGGCCTGGCAATCTACATCTGAAAAATCAGCCATTGAAAACCCTATGGAGCGAAGTTCTACTCTGACACACATGGGGTCGCCATGAGTCGGAGTCGATTGGACAGCAGCTGATACATATCCCTGGTGGCCCAGTGGTTAAGCGTTCGGCTGCTAATAAAAAGGTCAGCAGTTCGAATCCACCAGCCACTCTTTGAAAACCCTATGGGACAGTTCTACTCTGTCCTATAGGGTCGCAAAGAGTCAGAATTGACTTGATGGCAACAGGTTTGGTTTGTTGGTTTGTTTTTATATATATATATATTTTTTTTTTTTTTACTGTGCCACCCAGGTTTCCACGAGGCACAGGGAGATGAACTAACTTGCCCAAAATTGCAGGTGGTCAGGCTGCTTGGGTCCCCTGCTCTCCTGGAGACTTTGTGCTCCTCGTGGCTGTCGTAGGAGCGGAGAGCCTGGAGTAGGGGCACGGTTCCCGTGCCTGGTCCCTCTCTCGGCCCTGGGATGGGCAGAAGCCTTGCAAATTCACAAGCACACAGAGCACCCAGAGGATGCAGGCCTTCTTCACACCCGAGGAGAAGGGTGGAGACTAGATCTATTCTGGAATTCCGGAGCCCCTGGCTGGGACCTGTGTAGCCTTTGGGCCTGAGCCCATGCCCATAGGCTGCCCTCTGGGGTTGTGTTGGTGAACCCCTCCGGCGTTGTGTTGGTGAATGGGTTCTTGGCTGAGTCAACCTGTGCCCTTCCCTGGAGGGCAGGACATACCCTTCTCTACAGCGGTGTGGTCACAGGGCCCAAGCCCTCTGTGCTCTCAGCATGCAAAGGTGACTCCACTCGGCCTGCAGGGCCAAGGGATGGGCCTGGCTTCCCATCAGCACTGCTTTATGCCTAAGCTGCAGCCCCTCGTGGGATCCCGGGGCCCCAGAGCTGGTCTGTCCTACAGCAGCTGCCCTCCCTCTACTGCCGAGACAGTCCGGTGCCTCACCCCCCACCCCACTCAGGGACAGTTCCCTGAGTCAGATGGGAGAAAAAAGCCCCAGAGAAGACAGAAAAGAGGGAGGCAGGATGAAGGAGGCTTGTAGATAATTGGAGCATTTGATTTGGGGAAAAGGTTGAAGGAGGAGGTCTGATAGGGTGGGGTAGGGAGAGAGGAGGCATGGTAGGGGTGGGGAGGGGAGAGAGGAGACACAGTAGGGGTGAGAGAGGAGAGACAGTAGGGGCGAGGAGGGGAGAGAGAAGAGACAGTAGGAGTGGGGAGGGGAGAGAGGAGATAGTAGGGGTGAGGAGGGGAGAGAGGAGACAGTAGGGGTGAGGGAGAGAGGAGACATAGTAGGGGTGGGAAGGGGAGAGAGGAGACACGGTAGGGGTGGGGAGAGGAGAGAGGAGACACGGTAGGGGTGGGGAGGGGAGAGAGGAGGCATGGTGGAGTGGCAGTGGGGTGGGATGACCTGGCTGGGCACAGGCAGGACTGCCACACACAGTGGTGCCTATGCTCAGGGCACCAAAGCACGCAGTAGGAAGGCAAGTGGGAGCTGAAATGCCGCCGGGGCCCCACCCTCAGGCCATGTGCCCACCCACAGAGTGGAGGAAGAGGAATTAGAATGTTCTAATTCATGCAAAGGTGCTTTGTGGACCAGCCCCGGCCCTGGGCATGGGTGAGGGGAGGCTGCGGGTGAAATTGGGGAGGCTCTCCTGCAAGGTCACGAGACCCTCCTAGAGGGAGACCTGGGGAGGAGGGGAATGGAAGCCTGTGGTCCTGTCCTGCCTCCTGATCTCTGCCATGTCACCTCTGAGTCACCTGGTCACGACACCACGGCTTAGGAGAGGACATTTCCCACCACACCCAGGGCTGCATCCTGGCAAGGACCAAACCTGGCTGCACCCTGAGTGCTTCCTCCACAGCCTGCCAGTCTCCTCAGGTGGCCCCAAGCACTCTGTTCTTGGCTGGCCGGGCGGCCTGTTCCCTAAGCCCACAGGCGGTCGGGCTCCTGCCCCTACCTGGGCCTTCTGGGGGAGACCAGGGCCACATGACACCCACCTGTGTATTCAGGGAAGCAGATGGTCAAAGGTGACTTCTTGATCTTCTCGCCAAAGAGATCTTTCTTGTTGAGGAATAGAATGATGGAGGTGTCGATGAAGAACTTGTTGTTGCAGATGGAATCGAAGAGCATGAGAGACTCGTGCATGCGGTTCTGCAGCCCCAGGCGGGGAGAGAGAGCAAGACAGACAGCGAGAAGGAGAGACACGGAGACAGGGAGAGAGAAGAAGAGAATTAGGCTTAAGAGAGAGCCCTGGGCGACTCAGCGGCTCATGAGGGGCAACTGTGCCCCCTCCTCCGACGAGGCTGGTAGAGAGAACCTGCTATTGTAACGTCTCATGGGGCATCTCATTCCCCAAACTCAGAGCACACCCTCACCCAGCATCTCAGGCTTAGTGGCAGAGATGACTGGGAGCCAACCGTGGCTCCCTGGGTGAGGATGAGGACAGGGCGACCCAGGGCGCTGCCCGCCATTTGAGGAACGCGTGTGCAGTTGTGTGCGTGTGTGTCTGTGCGTGCATGTGTAGGGTATGAGTGTGTGTGCGTGGGTGGGTATGGGTGTGTATGGGTGTGCTGGGGCAGGCAGCCCCTGAGCTGGGCTTTGGCCTCCCTTGTTTGGACTTTCCTCTTGGGCCCAGTTCTGGGGGAGGGTCCTCTGGGAGTGGTACGGGACTTCCAGGTCCCTCCTGTCTGAGGGGAAGCCATGCCAGGCTCCCCCGGCTCCTCGGAAGCCACCACGCAGGGTAGCTGCTCCCAGGTAGGGCTGCCACCAGGAGCGGCTGGTGGACCGGCCATACCCTCTAGATGGGTCAAACTCAGCCACATCTGACCCTGCAAGGAGTTTTGAGCAATTCAGATGTAAATTACTGCCATGCACACAGAAGTTTGTTTGGCGAATGAATGAATGTGACAGCCACCCCAAGTAAAGCAGAGCCTGTGGAGGACACCCTGGGCCAAGGACTGACCCGTCCCACTTTGGGATGCCAAGCACATTCGCGTGGGCCCTGTTTCTCGGCAGTGCAGAGATCATGCCACTTGCTCTGTAGACTAGCCCGTTTCTGGCTGGGGAGGTGCCTCCTCCAGGGACTGTATCCCTGGCACAAGGACCCTGTCCTCACCCTGGGCACCTCCCACCACAAACCCAGCTCCATGGCCTACAGTCCAAGCCCATGAGTAATCCCTGGTTAAATTCTTAGCTCTAAATTAAGAAGACTAAAACAAATAATAGGAAAGAGAAGGGACTTGGTGTGGAGATGAACTCACTCCCCTAGGGATAAGCAAACACTAAAAAACCAAACCAAACCCGTTGCCATCGAGTTGATTCTGACTCATAGCGGGCCCTATAGGACAGGGCAGAACTACCACATAGGGTTTCCAGGGAAGGGCTGGTGGATTCGAACTGCCGACATGTTGGTTGGCAGCCAAGCTCTTAACCACTGAGCCACCAGGGCTCCAAGCAAATACTAGGAGCTGAGTAAATCACTTGTTCAATTGCCACGACCTTCTTCCTCTGTCTGAGCATAGGAGGGGGAGGAAGGTGATGGGGAAACCATCAATGGTGGCCGAGGCCCACTCTGTGCCAGCGCTGGGCCCAGCACTTCACCTGCCCTGTATATTTAACCTCATTAATCCTTAGGGGACACTGAGGTGACATAGCAGGGACACAGGAGAGCAGAGACTTGTACCCAGCTCTGGGCCAGATTCAGGGCCTCAACCCTGTACTCTAAGTCTGAGACATGGCTGTAGGTAGGGGACTTTAAGGGTCCTGTGTTGAAATGGGCTATGGCCCACTGCCACAAAGCAAGGGGCTGTTGACATCCCTTGGCTGACCCCAGGGGCTCCTCTGACGGGCTCTGACCTGCTCATGTAATGGGTTTCTCTGGTGAAGATCATTAGTCTGTGGCCTTCTGAAGAGTAAATAATGACAGTGTTACCATTGGTCAGCTCAGCCTTCAGTATTCCCTCCACGACTGCATCATTATACCCTTGACCTGACAATTGTCCCCAAGCCCTTGTTTTTATTGGCTCAAGCCAGTTGGCAAAGGGGGGCAGTCTGAGGTGTCAGCTGCCCCTTGGGAGCCCCTCAACAACTGGCATGGTCTTACCACCCCCACTGTAGTAAATGGCGCTGTCCTTTTACTCTGCTAAACAGATGCAGTAAACTCATATGCTCTTATGCCCCTCTAACGCCAACCAGTACACTGCATTCTCAGCTCCCACTGCATTCACAGGGTCCCACTTCAGGGGGTGGGCTCATTTGCCTTGTACTGTCTCAATGGTGTCTGCTCAGAAAAATGGCAGGTGGAGGTTTCCTAGGAGGCCAAGCCAATCCTTGCTCAGGGCCACCTATGAGGGCAGACTGGAGACCTCCAAGAGCCCAGGGATTCAATAGGAGACTGGCCCCTTCTCCCCCCACCGTAGAGAGTTCCCTCATCCCACAGAAACTCAACAAAAAGCTGAAAACCCGCAGCCAGAGGCATGCTGCCAACTCCAACTCCACAACTCTCTTGAGCCTGCTGTGGTCTATGGTTGCTGGGGGGATGCCCAGGGCATCATGCAGGGCCACCAGGGTGACCAGAGCTGAGGGTGGGGGGCTGTGTGCATTTGGCATGTGGGCTGGCCTTGTCTCTTCAACATGAGACCACCCAGCTTAGGTTTGGAGGAGGAATCCAGGTTGGCTGGCCCAGGCAGGCTCCATGGTACCACTCCACTAATGCTCAGCTCCCCCACCCCCGCTGCCACCACACACACCCAGGGCTGCAGAGTGTCCCCGCACTCACTCACTCATTGTTCCAGCCAATGTTTCCTGGCATGTGTGGACCAGGCCCCTGCTGGGCTGATAGGGGGCTGCAGGACCAACATGAACGAGGCTCCTGCTCTCCAAGAGCTCATAGTTTAGTTGGGGAGAGGATGCTCATACAGTAGAAAGGCCTGAGGTCCCAAGAAGGAAGCCGAGTGGGATAGGGACACGCACAGTCAGACTTCGTGTCGCGGGGAAAGCCACCGAGAAGGGTTGATCCTGGCAGTGCAGGTGGGACCTTGAGGAAAGGAGCTGACTGCAGGGAGTAGGCGGTGCCAGTGCCGAGACCCCTCCACGCCCCACATGCCTGACCGTCACCAAGCTGCCAAGAGCACAGGCTGTCCTTACAAGCTCCCAGGAGGAGACAGACGCAGGAGTACATTTAAAACGCAAACACACGTTTGAGAAGAGGAAGAAGCCAGGGGTCACAAACAACCACCAGCCTTCTCGCGGAGCCGCTGGGAACCCTCCCTGGGGCCGTTTCCTCTGCTTGCCAGGCCTGGCAGGAGGGCCCCAAGTCCTCTGCCTGCCAGGCCTGGCTTCAGCAGGAAGGTGGGCTCAGCCCTGGGCAGACCCGCCTCCCATCCTCACCTCCATGACACTTGCAACCATCCCTGGTGGGGGGCGGCTTGTCGCCCCGAGTCCTGCTGCCCCCACAGAACGTGCCCACTCCGAAAGGTGGCCCGCCGGCCCCTTCGTGGTGTGGGCGTGCCGGCGGAGCTGCTTGGGTACCGACACAACACAGCACACTCACGCTGGAAACAAGCTGGCACTTTTTATTAATGGTTGATGACTAATAAATACATTACTGCAGCCAATAAATTATTACAACTAGAGATTTATTAAACCAACAAGTCACTCTTACAAAATTACAGTTAATTCGGGGTGGGTGGCGGCAGCGGGGTTGGGAGGAGGGACTACTTTGCCTAAGAGAGAAGGCTTTGCTAAGGAGGAAGGGGGCACCAAGCCCACCCTGCCTGGGAGGCGGGAGGGGGGCAGACAGGTGGCAACAGAGTGGGAAGGGGGTCCGGGGAGGCTGAGGATACATGGGGCGGGTGGTTGAGCGGGGGGGATGGGTAGAGATGACCAGGAGGTGAGGGGGGCTGCTGGCCTGGCTGGAGCTGTCCCTGCCTCCAGCTGGG